AAAATGGTAACTAGTAAGTCATGTTGACTTTGTTCCCTGGTAGTAGATTTTGAGCTGTCTTTAAACAGACTAGCTTGGAGGACTGAATTTATAATTCTTTTTCTATCTTCTATAGATGAACCTAAATTAGTGTTTCAATTTTGCTTGCACAATGATACATTGTTCATAGGTATTTGAGGAGCAGGAGGTTTTGTTGGTTTTTTGACATTGGAAATATGCCAGTGTTATTTCTTTTTTTAAGATTTATTTATTTACTTGAAAGTCAGAATTACACAGAGGAGAGGCAGAGAGAGAGAGAGAGAGCGAGAGAGAGCAAGAAAGAGGTCTTCCATCTGCTGGTTCACTCCCCAGATGGCCACAACAGCCTGAGCTGCGCCGATCTGAAGCCAGGAGCCATAAGCTTCTTCTGGGTCTCCCACGCAGGTGCAGGGGCCCAAGGACTTGGGCCATCTTCTACTGCTTTCCCAGGCCATAGCAGAGAGCTGGATGGGAAGTGGAACAGCCGGGACTCGAACCGGCACCCAAATGGGATGCTGGAACTGCAGACAGAGGCTTTACCTGCTATGCCACAGCGCCGACCCCTATTGTTTCTTATGTATGTTTTTTAATAGTGAAAATGTTCTTGATTTTGAAACTTGTTGAGTTTTATTATTACCTAAACTCAAAAGTTATAGAAATGATAAATCTCTTAATTTTATTGTTCCTCTGTAGATGTGTGTGGTGGAGAGAGCAGTTTGCTAGCTCTGCATGATTTAAAGTTAAATAGACTGATTTGTTTTAAATGTCACTCTTTATTTTTAAGGATTTATTTATCTATTTGACAGGCAGAGTTAGAGAGAAGGAGAGACAGAGAGAGAGAGAGGGAGAGATCTTCCATCCACTGGTTCATTCCCTAAATGTCTTCATTTGGCCTGGGCCAGGCCAAAGCCAGGATCCAGGTTCTTCTTCCAAGTCTCCCATACAGTTGCAGGAGTCCAAGGACTTGGACCATCTTCTACTGCTTTCCCAGACCGTAGCAGAGAGCTAGGTTGGAAGTGGAGCAGCCAGGACTTGAAATGGTGCCCATATGGGATGCTGGCACTGCAGGTTGCAGCCTTAACCAAAACAGAAATGATTAAATCAGGAATTTTGTAATTAAACAGATATTAAATGTGTGTGTGCTTGACTCTGGCTATAATGAACAAGAGATACTATAAATTTTGCTGCCTTGGCATTTACAGTGTAGTAAGAGACCCAGGTATTCAAAATCACACAGTGGTATGAATGTAATGATTAATTATGATGCTCTCTATGAATGAAATTCACAGTGTGGTATATCAGAGTGGGAAGAGGGCCTTAAAGTGTTTAGGCAAGTTTCTACAAAGAAGTGACATTTATGTGGGATGTGAAGGGTGTATAAGAATTAGCCAGGCTGGGCCCCAAGAAGATCCCAGTCACAGGATGCATCATGCACAGAGTATCCAGAGACAGCCAAGGATGAGGCTAGTTGGAGTGCCTGGAAGAGCCGGATGGTGGGGGCTAAGAAAACCAAGGGAACGGCTGATGGTAAGAGCCTAGAGGACTTGGTGGCAAGGTTAGGGAGACGAGCAGAGGGCTTCGAGAGCCTTCCCTCAGTTCTGACCTCTGCCTCCATCTTCAGCCTTCTTGGTTTTCTGCAGCTTCTCCAAGCTCTCTGTGTCGTGTTCATTCTGGTGTTTCTTTGTGTTCTGAGCTATGCCGTAAGTCCCAAGGACATCATATGCTTCAAGGCCTTTATAGAAGCTGAGAAACTGCCTTTCAAAAAAAAAAAAAAATGTGTCCTGTCCATGTCTGTCTTTGTTCGTGTCTCCCCCTCTACCCTCAGTGTTCACTCTCTCCCTCTCTCTCAGTACTACCTCCTCAGCTCTCTGGTTCCTCATTCCCATTCAGATGTTGCCTCCTTATAGAAGCTCCTCCACCCTCCAAAAAAACTCACGTTGTTTTGTTGGCTGTGTTATCATAATGATGTTTCTTCCTTAATATTAAATTCAGTGTTTAATTAGGCAATCTTTGATGATTATTTGATTACCACTATAGACTCCTATCTTGTAAGCTCCACAGTTGCACGGACCAATTTGTACATCTTTGTTAGTTTAAGTTTCTAATGTGTAGCACGTAGAAGCTCTCAAAGTTTTTGAATGACTGAATGAATTAATGAATGAAAGACTGAGAATTGGCCCATTCGTTAAAAATATTTTTGAGGCATCATCAACATGTGTGCTGGTTACATACTTTTATAAAATAAAAAGCACATGTTTTCAAACATATCCCGTGGAAAATTTTAAAAATTAAAGATGAATTATTTAATGTTTTGCTAATGATAATGGCATCATATAATTAATGACAATCTTAAGGGACTTACAATAATGCTTAATATGTATGACAGTGGAGACAAATCTCATTTTGAGATAGTTTTAAATTTTGAGATTGGGAGACTGCTCCGTGCCAGATAGAACTGGGTACCATTACCTTCTGTAGTAGACTGGTTAAGGATGTATCTGGTACTTTCATTAATAACATATTTAGTCTTTAGTTTCCTTTTAAATTCTTAACTTTTTCATTTGTTTAAGAAGAGAGGAAGACACACACACACACACACACACACACACAGAAGAGACAGAGCACCCGTCTGCTCGTCCATTCCCCAAGTGCTTACAATGGCTAGGACTGGGCCCCATTAAAGTCAGCAGCTCCTATCATTTCCCAGGTCTCCCATATGGGTAGCAGGAACTCAGTTGCTTGAGCCATTGCAGCCGCCTCCCAGGGAATGCCTTAGTTGAAAGGTGGCATCAGGAGTTGGAGCTGGGACCCAGCCCAAGTACCCCGTATGGGGCACAAGCCTCTTTACTGATGGCTTACCCACTGAACCAAATGCCTACAGTAATCTCTAGTTTTTGTGGTGGTTTTAGAATAGCTGCCATTTGCAGAGGACAGATGTTACTGTAATAAATATATACAATCTATGACTCTGGTTAAATGGGCCTTCAAAACTATAGTAGATGGCTGAACTCTCTAAGGAATTTATGTCCTCTTTTACACAACTCCCACTCTTTCTGAAAGGTGCCTGTTCTACTACATGGTCTTGGGAACCTGAGATAGAGAACAAACAAGACTTCAGTTGTTTACACTTGATTAGAGTAAAGCATTTTTATAAAAAGATTTTATCGTTTTCATTCAGAGCTTAAGGAGTTCCTTGCGTGACCCTTGGATGCGTGGGCTAGTGCTGAAGACTGCTGTAAAGAGAGAGCAATGTTAGAGCAGTGCTGGGGGCTGAAGGCACTGCTGACTGACAGTGCTTTCACTAAGTGTCTGCTTTCTTTGCTAGATCATGAGTGGCAGGAGGAGGGAATTGGGTAGAGAGAGGTGGGAGAAGAGTACACGCCGTGGGAGGCAAGCATCATGTTCATATTCAAAGGCACAGCAATGGTGTTGGAGGGGTCAGATTCTGATTGCAAGGGTCCAGAATGAGGAATTTTCATGGTACAAAAAGATCCATGTGACATGGAAACAGCATCAGTAACAATAAAATGGACTCGCTCAAGTTTTGTATGTTTTTCAAAATATAAAGCATGTACATAAAAATTTCCTTTATCATTCCCCTGTCTTGCTCTTAGAGAAGGGATGGTCTGAAATATAATCACAGTAAGGAAGAGAAATTGGAATGGGATGGGGTGATAGGACTGATGGGGATGTGGGGAATGAGCAATCAGACCACCACCAGAAATTGTGATTGTTGTAAGATGGGTCACAGGGTGACCACTCCAACAGGTTAGATGGCAGTGGATTCTTGTTCCTTGGTATGAGGCTGGAAGAGGAAGGTAGCACACTAACCTGTGTGTTAAAGCACTTTACTAGTTTTCTTCTTTATTTTACCATCCAGAGAACTGCAGCTCACCAAACTCCTCCTATGTTCCTGATATTTTATAGGAATTATTCAAATGGAAAAGTTCTTTGTTGTGATCAGAAAATTGAGCTTCTGCCCACATAGTTTAGACTAACACCAAATTTGAAATTTGTATCAAGTATCTTCTCTCTCAGTGGTAGTTTCTTTATTATAGATTTATGTGATGTCTTACTTACTCTGTCTTAGTTGTGTCTATCCTTTATAAAATTTGAGGATATGTAGGAATGCATTGCTTTGCCGTAGACGATTTGTAAGTTTTGCTTGTTTTGTTTTCCCACTCTGGGCTCTATTCTCCTTTTAAGAGACAAGTGAGGCTCAAAGGTAATAATTTGGCTTGAATTATGAAGTTGTTTAATATTTTTTAAAAAGATTTATTTGAAAGGCAGAATTACAGAGAGGCTGAGGCAGAGAAAGAGAGAGGTCTTTGACCCGCTGGTTCACTCAACAGGTGGCTACAATGGCCTGGGCTGCACTGATCTGAAGCCAGGAGCCACGAGCTTCTTCCAGGTCTCCCATGTAGGTGCAGGGGCCCAAGCACTTGGGCCATATTCTGCTGCCTTACCAGGCCATAGCAGAGAGCTGGATCAGAAGTGGAGCAGCCAGGACTTGAACCAGCACCCAAATGAGATGCCAGCACTGCAGGTAGCGGCTTTACCCGCTATGCCACAATGCCAGTCCCATCAGTTTTTAATTTAATGCCAATTTTGCATTCAATATGGTAAGATAATGCAAACAAAATCTTTGAGAAATGCCTCACCTGAGAGCTAAACATTTTCATTTCCTTTTGAGCTCTTCATAAGAGAGTAGGCTCAGAGAAAGGAGCCTTAGAGTGACCAATCTGATTACCGCTTTAAAATGATATGTTTAAATCCATGTTAATAGGTATGTTTAAGTGTATCAAGAAATAAAGCTATATATATATGTGTGTGTACATTTTTACCGTTATATATATATATATATATATGGGGGATTTGGAGGCAGGGCCTGAATGGCAGTGCAAAGACGGTATAGTTAATTTGACTTGTCATCCTGTAGTGAGAGTTTTTGTTGTACTTACGTTTCATCTTTTCCCTCATAGTTGTACAATGGTAGATGGAGTGATGATTCTTCCTGTGCTAATGATGATTGCATTCCCCTCCCCAAGCATGGAAGGTAAGTGACTCACAGCTATTTGGGTTATGATAAGTATGGTACACATTGTTTTGCTTGCTTTAAAATCTACCCTTTTAAAAATATTTATTTGAGAGGGAGAGAGGGAAAAAGAAGATGCAAGTGAGAACATTTGAGATATCTCCCATTTGCTGGTTTACTCCTCACATGCAAGCAGCAGCTGGGCCTGGGCCAGGAACAAGGAAATCAGTCCCAGTATCCCATGTGGGTGGCAGGGATGCAGCCACCCAAGCCATCATCTGCTGCCTCCTAGAATGTGCGCCAGCAGGAAGCCAGTAATGGAAGAGGAGCTACAACCTGCAGCCACAGCTCCGATACAGGATGCAGGTGACTTAACCGCTGCATCCAATGCCCGCCCTAGCCCACCCTTTGTATAATAAATATTTTGTAGTAACTGTTGGTTATTTTGAAATGAAATTCTCATGTAACTTACCAATTTTTACATATACACGATTTTTAAAAATTCAGTATAATGTCCTATTTGAAATAAACACAGGAGAAATAAAGAGAATTTGTAATTAACAGTAAGACAATTAGTATAAGCAAGTATGATTCTAGTATACTTGTGCATAAATACACTAGAGGATATAATCAAGTGGTGCATGCTTATACTTATATATGCAATAATCTTTGATGTCATTCCAAACAGGTGGGTGCTGGTGTGTTATAGTTGTGATTTAGTTGTCACAGATAGTCTTACCTTCAGGGATTGAATTTTCTGAATTGGTAGAATAAATATTAGTAGAGTCTCACCAAAACAGGTAACTGTGGATTCGTGGTTTATAAAGTACTTATATTTTTAGAAAACTTATTATATTTTTAGAAAACTTAAGAGAATATGAGACATGCTTTGTGTTTCTATGTATCACAGATTTAGGTATCAGGTTCAGTGGATTAAACAGATTATTCATATTTCTAATTCATAAAACTTATGGGGGCATAGGCCATGTGTTAGCTTGTTTGAGTTCTTATAACACAAATACCATAGACGAAATGGTTTATAAATAACAAACGCTTACTTCTCACACTTCTGGAGGCTGAGAAGTCAAAGTTTAAGGTGTTGGCAGACTCATTGCCCTCATAGATGGCACCTTCTACTCTCACGGTGGAAGGGGCTAACTAGTTCTCTGGGTTTCTTCTATAAGGGTCCTGTTCCCAATCAGCATTGTGCCTGCCTTCTTGATCTAATCACCCCAAAACTCTACCTCCTGATATCATGACTTTGAGATTACGGATAGCAGCAGAGTTTTTGAGAGGGAGACACAAACAGATGATAATGGGTTGACTCTTAGCTGTGTGGTATTGTGCAGGCATCGGGGCCTTTGGCCTTTCTGGCCCTTTCTTTCTTTCATATCTTCACCCCAACCCACCTAGTTTCTAAAAGGTTGCTTAGGGATGGTGCTGCCTCTGTTGAAAATCACAAAATAGATAAGATAATAAAAGGTACTCATAATTCCCTGCACTTAACATGCAGTTGCTTTTAGCATGTTACCTCCTTCTAGAAACATATCACATAACTAACACATTCTAATGTACTGTGCATTCCTGGTACTTATAGTATGAGTGTCAGTGCTCACTGTGTGATCAGATGGAACAATAAGACTAATGCCTTTGTTACAGGCTCTTTGGGGTATATTGGCTCACTTTGTATAATTGATGAGTCTCCAAGGAGGCATCTCATTTGGCAAGTTAGTGTAGCCAACAAAAGAAAAATCAGTGCTTAATATACTAGAAATCTGTTTTGTTATATATGAGTATCAGGCTTATAGAATGTGATCTGTTCTTACCTCCTGCCTGTACCATTGACATATGTTATGTATCTCCCTTTTCCTACAATGTGCTGCTAATCACATTAGCACTTGAAATGTGAACAGTGTAAGTTGAGATATGATGTAAGTGTAAATACAAACTGGATTTTGAAGACAATAAGAATGTAAATTTCACATATTTCTTTTCACTACTTTGAGAAAATTCAGAATTACATATGGTGGCTCACATTTTGTTTCTGTTGGACAACACTGTTGTAGACTAATTTAGATCTTTGGAGTCTAGAATCTAAGCAACATTGTAAAAGGTATTCCAATAATATGGCAGTTGTGTCAATTAGTGCCAAGAATGTATGGATAAAGGATCCTGTGTGGCAGTGTTGAAGGAATTAATAAGAAGAAATGGGCTTATATTAAAGCTAGGAAGATTTGATGTGTTAACAGTGGTTTCAACACCAGGTGATTTTACACTTCAGGGAACACTTGACAGTTTCTGGAGACATTTATAACAGGCAAGTTTCTAGGATTTTTATCCCTTTTTAAATTGCTGAGCAATGTTATTATTAAAATATCTAAGGAATGTTGGATTAAAGTCCCTCCAAATTTTACACCTTTCCCTAAGTGCCATCTTAGTTCTATATGGTATTAGGCAGATACTTTGGGTTTCAGTTGATATCGTAGATGAACCAGTGGTGCAGGTAAGGTAGGAGAAAAGAAAGTGTAAGAGAAACAGAGGTCTAAATATAGTATGGAGTTGGGGAGGGTGGAGTAAGAATGGGGAAGGGAGGAGAGAAAGGGCATTAGCAGAACAATGTTAGCAACCATACCATTGGTTGTTTTGTCTTGCTTTCAGCTCTTAAGCTGTCCAGAGAATTCGGCAAATGTTATTATTAAAATATCTAAGGAATGTTGGATTAAAGTCCCTCCAAATTTTACACCTTTCCCTAAGTGCCATCTTAGTTCTATATGGTATTAGGCAGATACTTTGGGTTTCAGTTGATATCGTAGATGAACCAGTGGTGCAGGTAAGGTAGGAGAAAAGAAAGTGTAAGAGAAACAGAGGTCTAAATATAGTATGGAGTTGGGGAGGGTGGAGTAAGAATGGGGAAGGGAGGAGAGAAAGGGCATTAGCAGAACAATGTTAGCAACCATACCATTGGTTGTTTTGTCTTGCTTTCAGCTCTTAAGCTGTCCAGAGAATTCGGCAAATGACCTCTTAATGCTACAGCGAAGATAAGTAATGAAACCAATTAGTCTGGGCTGAAATGGAAATGGATCGCCACTAAGGTTTTGCTATTTAATATACCACCAATGCTAGGATGGGTACAAGTGTGGAAAAGAGCACTTCTTACTTTAGTAGCAATAGCTGTTTTTTTTTTTTTTTTTTTTTTTTTTTTTTTTTTTTTTTTTTTAAAGCAGGGTATCCAGGGAATGCTTCATCCTAATAGTAATAGTGGTTGCCTTAGTGCTAGCTTCCTCTGTGACTCAACACTCTGCTCTCAGTAACATATTCCATGAAAGGGACTTTTGTTTTTACATGTTTACTAGGAATTAAAAAAGAAAAACACTATAAAACTCTATTTGTAATACTGTGGTGCTTCAAAAAATTTGTTGGAATATTGGAATTGCAAGAACGTGTATTTTTTATTAACTTTTTGAAGCCCCCCCCCCCTTGTACTCTTATATACTCAATATGAGGTGTGAAGCACTTGTAAAGTATAAAACACTTAACCTTTAGTGGTAAATAATGGCAGATAATGAAAATCTTTGTGATAGCACTCTAGCTTGTCTGGTGCTGAACTTTACAGACTACTAAATTTACAAGGAAATAGGCCCATATTTAGTATTTACAGAGCAGTTACAGAAATTATTAGTTGTACATCAGTGATGCTAGATGATATTCATGGGGCACGCATAACAGATATGTAGAGAATTTTTTTTTTTTTTTTTTAACAGGCAGAGTGGACAGTGAGAAAGAGAGACAAAGAGAAAGGTCTTCCTTTGCCGTTGGTTCACCCTCCAATGGCTGCCCGTGGCCGGCACGCTGCGTCAGATGCACCACGCTGATCTGAAGGCAGCAGCCAGGTGCTTCTCCTGGTCTCCCATGGGGTGCAGGGCCCAAGCACTTGGGCCACCCTCCACTGCACTCCCGGGCCACAGCAGAGAGCTGGCCTGGAAGAGGGGCAACCAGGACAGAATCCGACGCCCTGACCGGGACTAAAACGCGGTGTGCCGGCGCCGCAAGACCGAGGATTAGCCTATTGAGCCACGGTGCCGGCCCCGAGATTTTCTTCTAATATGTTGGGTAGTCTTAGTTATTAAAAAAAGTAAGAATGGGAAAAGTTGTTCATTGGGTACTAAGTTACATTTTGATCTGAGAAGTAAGTTTTGTTATTCTATGACATAATAGGATGACTATAGATAAGACATTGCGTATTTTAGAAAAAATCAAAGGATTTTAGACATTTTCACCATAAAAAAAATTACAATGTTTGAGGAGACATATTCTTTCCCTGATTCATTATACCATGTGTATATGTATTAAAACATCATATGGTACCCCATAAATATGTTTGAGTTTTTGTCTTTTTAAAAATACAGCTTTTAGCTCCTTGTCCCAAGTATCTTAAATATTGATTAGAAATAGTGATAACACTTCATGTAATAGGTCCAAAACTATGATACTGGTTGAGTGTGAGTGAACTGTAGAACATTTCTCAAGTTCTGTGGACCCTAAACGCCTTCTGTACTACCTCCCTGATCATTATAGGTAGTATATGTTTAGCACTTAATTTGTGCCAGATGTTGGCCTAACTGCATTTGATAGGTCATTTTCCATAATCATCACAATTATTAAGAAAAAAAAACAGGCCTTTTGGATGTGCTTTTCCACTGATGGACACTCTTGCTGAAGGTGACAGAGGTAGCAGGAATGGTGTATGAGAGTTTCAGTCGTTAGTCATCTTCTTTAAAATTTTGCATTTTTGGGAGGATGTCGTAAGTTGGCTGTATCTACCTTCACCTTATGTCTCGTGCATGCTAGATTCCAGCTGAGTCCAGTCTATTTAAGAGGGTAAGAAGAGGGCTCGTGATAGCAAATGATGAGGCCCTTCATCTGTGTTTTTTGCTGCTCGTCTCTCCTACTCGTGATGATTTTCCATGTTCATTATATATACAACTCCAGCTGCAGGAAGAGTTTTATTTGCTCTCACAGAG